CCGGGGACACAATCGGGCTCTCACGGCCCACAAAGCGGGGCTGAAGCATGCCTCCAGGTTCTTCCTTTCGAGGCTGTGGAAGTCGGGTGAAAACACCCTCATAAAACGCTCCAGGACGGAACACTCAGCTAAACCGGGACTTGGAAAGCAACTCCTATTACAAAAGATAAAAGAAACGCAATCCTATTCCGCTTCCCCACGTGCTCACTGACCATGGCCTGCTAGTCACACAGAGAGGCTCCACGGCCGGTGGCTGGGCAGCCACGCACGTCTGGGTGCCCAGATTCTAGAGGTTGCGGGGCCACGGGGGCGGGGCATGGCTGCAGGTCTCCAGGGTGCAACTGAAAGCTGTGTTTGTCTCCTGCAGTCTGTGCTAGTAAACTAAAACAAAAAACTGTTCTCTAAATTACCCTGGGACCTGCACAACACTGTCGTCTTGCTCACCTGGCCACTCTGGAAACCGCTGGGAGCTCCACTCACTGCGGACACAGTGAGACTCACAGCGGAGCTGCCGCAAACCTGGAACCAATAGAACGTTCCCTGGGGCCTTTTTTTTTCTTTATAACATGCGTTATGACAATTCAACATATTGAACCTTCATGTTGGATTAGAGGAAAAAGCCAATGAATTAAGCATGCCTATTGACTATCTGTAGAGCTGCCTGCAAGAGTTAAATTTGTTCGTGTACTTAAATTTTGTTAAAGCTAATTTTAAAAGTTCTCTGAAAAAAAAAAGCCAATTCTTTTCCAAACTTATCCCACATTAATTAATTCACTTGAATGCAGAGGTCTAAAACTATATTTCGCATCAGAGTTTTGGGGTTTTTTTTTTCTCTAGTTCTTTAGGCTTTTAATGATTTTTGGTAATTCAGAACAATCTGTGTCTTTTTGCATATCACAATAAAAACATTAACCTATTTGTTCAAGAGACCTTGGAATCCTCACTATAAAAATAAGCAGTATTTATTTTATACAAATGACTCCATTTTACAACAAGGTCTCTTCAGGGTTGCAGTGATTACATATGCTGGATCCTGAATGCGGTCAGCCAGCCTACACAGAACACACTGTGGTTTGCACTGAATTGCACAATTAACTCGTCAGTGTACGCTATTTCCGACACACCCTCGTAACAGAAAATAAAGTACCGTTTTCCAGTGCTATTCCAGACAAGATGAAAACGAGCGACTCAAACAGACGAAAGCCCTGACTGCAGTCCAGCAGGTCGCCGCGGCCTTTCCTCCCCGCAAGGAACACAGGGTGCGCGCTCCTGCGGTAAGTCTGGGGAGAGGCGCTCCCTGCGCTGGCTGCCGCCGCGCCTGCACGAGACAGGCCAGGGTCCGGCGCTGCAGCCTGGTCTGCGGGCGACACCCACTGGACGGCAGCACCAGACACACCGAGCGTGGACAGTCCACTCTCCGCCCTCCACCTTCGACACGGGGAGAAGCCTGCTGACCTGCCTCCGAGCACACGATTCCTTACAATTTACTGAGTTAAAGTGACCCAAGGAGGGTTAAACAAGAGGGGTCAAGATTCACTTGCTTAGCGATGCATATTCAAATGCATGCAACTTTTCACATGTCAGTTCCAACCTCTGTCGTCTGTAAGAGTTAGTTTATAACTGTTTTAACTGAACAGTCACGGGAAGACAGATTTCCTAAATCTCACTATAATTAGTGATTAGCTTAATTTCCCGACAAGTAGGGTTGTCCTATTTATTTCTGAAATAATAACAGTCGTCCAAGTTACTTGAAAAACGTCGATGATAAAAACTAAAATGAGCAATAACAGCTTGGAAATACAATATTTCAAATTAGCATATAATTGAAACTAAATTTGTGAATATATTTAGAATGAGGAGAGCTCTCAATAATGTATTTTCTTAAATTAAAATGACTGCGTTTGAGATTTTAAATGTTACATTTAATCAAACTGGGTTTATTTCCCCTCCCTTAAAAACATAACACAATAACGCTAACTTTAATTGACATCGTTTATAGCCCTAAAATGTACTTTTTTATTTCAAAACACTCAAACTACACATGCTTGAAGATCTCTATATTTGGCACGGCCAGTAAAAAATAAAGTCACAAGGTATTCACAGACAGAAACTACCACAGTACATCTTAATGGATCGACTGCTTTTAAAAGTTATTCCATGTAATAATCAATATCGTTAAAATCACTCCCAATAAAACCGGGGTTTCGTTTTCTTCTAATGATCCAAATCTAGAGTGAAATGATGGAATCAAAAAACAAGCGTTCTTGTCAGAAGACAGGAAGAGCGCTCCCCCCCTCCTCGGAAAACAAAGGGCTCCTGAGCGCGGGGCCCTGATTTATTCTTCCAATTTTCAATTCCTCGAGCGGCGGAACTGCTACTGGCAGGGTCGTATTTCTAACAGTCAATAAATCCACAATATTATGTGTGAATATTGGAATGAAGCCATTAAGAAGATTACAGCGTGCAGCGCAGCAGAGGGTCCGCAGGAAGAAAGACGAGTAATTCGGGACAACTGTGACCGCTGACCCGGGAGCAGCCGAGGCCGCTGGCCAGGCGGACGCAGTAATCGGGTGCACGTGCGCGCGGAGCCCCCGGCCTGCCGGGAAGGGCGGCGCCCCTGCTGGGGGGGGCCCCCACCCCCCACCCCCGGTTCTAGGGGCCCCGCTGCAGTCCCAGTTAATTTACTAAATAACCGAACAACCCCAACAGAAATATTTTTTTCAGGCTTCCACTATGTTTTATTCACTCAGATCTCTCTCTCTCACACATACACACACCCAAATTCAGTAAGATCATTTGTGATTTTTGAGCATGCCTCATTTGAAACATCTACAATGATAGAAAATGGGACTGGCTACTTGATCGTATTTCCCACAGGAGTGTAAGGGATGGCTTTTGGAAAACTGGTGACGAGAGACGATTGAACAATCATCTAAAATATCTTTAGGACGAGGACTGGAACGCAAAGCAACATCTCCTGCTGCAGTGAGCAGTTTCCGCACCACCCGAGCGCCAGCTCCGGCTCGGCCTTCCTCCCACGTGCCAGCCCCGGCTCCGGACCTGATGCACCCTCGCGGCTCCGTCTCCGCCCCGAGGTCCCTCTGAGAGTCTCTCTCCCCCTTCCAGTGATGTCCAGCCAACTGTTACTCTACGACGATGTTCCCTCGTGCCATTTTATACATTTAGGCTTTTGTATCTGGGAGCATTGTTGAACTCCTTCACATATTTAACTAAGCACGTTAACAGCAAACCAATCCGACTGGGAAAGCACTACCTCTGAATTCAAAAAGAATTGCCCATCAAAAGAGTGACTGTTCGAGATAATTTTTCTCAAAGAAAGAAGGAGCTATCATTAAAGCAGACTATAAAAGCTGCAGTTTGGCACTGGAAAAGCTGACTTCTTTCCCATTTTTCTTCCTCCTCTTTAAAAGGAAACAACCCTTTCTCCTTAGAGGCACTGACAGTAGCAAACACAAGCACAGGAGGAAAACATTCTTAAAAGTTGGGTCTTTATTTCCATAATTACTCCTCTCTCCAATGAAGGATACTTTGATGGGTTTCCAAATGAATAACTCTAATCATTTCTAGCACCTTCTGCAAAATTTTTATAATGAGGCAATCTAGTTATAATGAGCTAAAAAGATAATACAATTCTTCAGTGATCAGGGCTTGGATTTGTTCGTACGTAGCATGAATTTTACTATAGTGAGATAAAACACTTCAATTTAATTTGCTTCAAGGTCAGCAAGTATTTTAGGTTATTTGTGGGCATAAATAACTTGATTTCAACTTTAAAATCATATTTTCCCATCAGTAGCCATAAAAACAATCAAGTTTAGTTTTAGTGTATTTTTTGAGTTTGAGATTTTTTAATTTCATTTTTCAAACTCCTTAGTAATGATTTCAAAGTACTTGCAATATTAGAGACTTGCAAATTTGAGTGGAGGTTTTTTTAACTTTCAAATATCCCTGAAAAGAATAATTTTTTAAAGGGGGGTTATTTTAACTTATAGCTATGTTAGAAAGATATTTTTAAACAAGCATTGAAACATGTACAGAAACAAGACTAGTCCGTATTTTTGCCCTGTTATCAGGAATATGAAGGCCAAAAAATGCACTTTTGGAGACCATTTCACATGAAATACAGAATATATCCTATTATAAGCTGCAGACACACACACACACACACACACACACACACACACACACCCCTTTGCAAGATCAAAGACCAGGCGAGAACTGGCACTTAATTTATCAGCCTTTACAGACAAAAGACAGTTTTCGTCATTTCAAAAGGATCAGATGTCTTTTATGACAAACTGGGCCTGCAGTTTAATTTACAAATAGAATTCTAAGTAAGCAGTCTTTGCTCCGCCACGGCAAATGACACTCCGTGTAGGTTTTCATTCTTGCGGCCCTCAGCGGGATAGAGAAGATTAAAAATAAAACTGAAATAATTTAGAGAAAACAAATAAATGTTTCAGAAAGTTGAGGGAGATCAAAGCCAGAATTTTCTGACCCCAACTGTACCAGCATTTCTTATTATATTGACCAGCGCCATCAGATCATTAATTAAAAGGAATGGCGCTGGCAGGTGGCGGGGAAGCCAAGCCGGTAATTGGCTCCCTTCTCTTTCCTTCAAAAACTCTCATTCTTTTGCAAGACATGCCACTAGGCAGACAGAAATGCCTACTTTGTAATATAATGATTAAGATGAGATGAAGAGACGCAGGTTGAAAGGAGCCTTGCCTAATGAATGCACCGAGCTTTTTAATTACGCTCCTGCTTTCACAATGAGGAGCATCAGGCCCGGCTCGCCGGCTCCTCCACTGCCGAAAGGTAAAAATGGGACCCGCAGACCCTACGGTGAGTCCGCGCGCGCCCTCGGCCCCTTTATCCCCGTCTTTCGCGGTGGGCAGAATCGCTCTCGGCGATTCAAGGGTCCGGGAGAAGACATACATATGCATCCATGTTCACCAGGAAAGAGCCTTCGGACTTACCACGTCACTCGGGAGGTTGATCAAGTCATTAAATGGTGATTCTAAAGTGTTTGTGTCAACATTTAACATAACCACATCCTCCAGTGATTTATTTTTCACTCTCTGTTCAAAAAACACAATTACAAATAAACATCTTAGTACATTGTCCACAACCTAGTGAGCTTAGAAATGTAGAGAAAATTATCTTAATGCATTAGTCTGGGAAGAAGAAAAAAAAGGGTAATCCTACATTATAAAAGAATGTAAACAACTTTGTGACAAAAAAATAGTTCATATGCAACCGTTCAAAAAGATGGGGTAAAAAGGCTTAAAATAAAATGTTTGCTCATCTCAATGCTGTTTTAGTTTAGAGACACTGAGTATAATTTAACGACCAAAGAGAGGTTACAACAAAGACTTACAGAATAGGCATGGCTATAGTGAACTGTAAAAACTTATATTCTTTAAATTTGAGCAACTGAATTTCAACCCTATGATGGAACTTGTGTCCAGTTCTATGCCTATTTTTAGCATAAATCATAATGCACATCTCACATAGACCAACTACAGTTTAAAGTAATCCATATTTTTCTCTATATTTCGATTTCAATTTGGTAAAAGTTTAGGATGGTGGCTAGAAGTCGAATAAGAAAACAGGACAGAAGAGGCAGTAATAAGTAGTTCATTATTAGTAATATTTATCACACAAGTTTCAACATAAGAGTCAAATTTAATAGCCTATCAGATTAACTATTTGACTTATTTGCTTTATTTGTTTGACAGCTTAGTCACCTGGCCAAATTATGTCAATATGTGGACAAATAGTAGTGAATTAGAATTTCATCAGATTTTTCATGCTTAAAATATTTACAGTTTGTTTCCTATTTAACCTACTATGAATACTTAAGTTATATACCACTAATAGTTTTATGTAAATGATAGCAAACAGTATTATTCCCTAATGCAAATGAGGTGCTCATTAGTGAAATATATCCATCGTCTCAGAATTCTGTAATTGTATGGGTCAACTAGCAGTAGGTCAATTAATTTCAGCATGATAGTTTTTAAAGGGACATTCTAGAATAATAGCTGTTTTGGAAATTATTGAATACCTTAAATTTTAAATTGGCCAATTTTTTGGTTTAAGTTGGGCAAGACTAAAATTTCTCTGATTCATTTAGAATTTGAAATCTATGCACATTAGGTAGAATTTTAAATTTTCCAGGGACGTGGTAGTCTTTAGTGTTAAGAAAGCTATGATATCTAAGTGGAACATGGATTCACGGGGCAGGGGCAGCGTATGATGCTAAAAATCCTTGTAAAAGACATTAAAATAATTCTAAAGTAAGACTCAAAACATGGCCCTTCTTAAGAAATTAACACTTATAAATGAACTCATTTCCTTTCCCTTTCATGTTTATACATATATGTAAACAAGGTTTATATACACAAATATGTAGATATCTATAAATTACAGCAAAACTACAAAAATAACCTATTTTATAAGCAAATATACATCTTCAATTTTAAGTTGTCCTTTTAACAAAAACTATAAAGTTAATCTATAAACTGATGTATTTTTAAAAAAATAAAATAGCCTAGAAAAATGGCCATGTGACCCCAAAATGCTTTGTGATGACACTAACAATAAACCCTGAATAAAGGAAATCAGTGTTACCATGAAATACATACTTTTTTCAAAGCTGCTCTTAATTTTAAAAGACCTGGCAATAGCTGGATATTAAATTTTGTTCAAGGGACCACCCAATAAGAATGGAAATGTACCCTGGCTGGTGTGGCTCAATGGAATAAACCCCAGCCTGTGAACCCAAGGGTCGCTGGTTCGATTTCCAATCAGGGCACAGGCCTGGGTTGCAGGCCAGGTCCCCAGTAGGGGGTGCTTGAGAGGCAACCACATGTTGATGTTTCTCTCCTGCCCTTTCTCCCTCCTTTCCCCTCTCTAAAAATACATCAATAAATATTTTTAAAGGCAATGGAAAATATATTCATTTTAAGAAATCAATACACTGAGACCTCTAAAATGAGAACAATTTTATATTTTAAAAAATACCATGTAATTTAAATCTTTTTTTAAGTTGGAGTAATGTCAGTGTTTTATCTGTTTTCCCTGCAAACCAGGATTTAGCTGTTGTTCTTCCTAAATAGAAGTGGACAGCCACACAGCCCATAAAGTGATCTCACTCTCCTATATTTAGATCGTAAAAGTCATACTTGTTTAGATGGAAAAAGAGCAAGAAAACATAAAAATAAAATTTTCCTTTTTCTTCAAAAATAGAAAATGCTCCGAGGACAGAGATGGGAAGTCTTGTGCAGAAGGTGGTCGGCGTGTCTCCCGTCCTCTGCAGACGACCCTTCCAGGGGCGGGGACTACAGGCCACAAACGTCACAGCCCGGCAGCGACACAGACGCGGCGGCCACGTGGTCTTGTGGAGTTGGGGCCACATTTTGTCTAGAGGCCTTTCTGCACTGGAGCTGCCCGCCCCAGCCCCACGGCAGCGCCCCCCGCCCCCCGAGGTGGGGGGGCCCGGGTCGCTGCAGGCCGCGGCCCCGGCTGCGCGCTCTCCCAAAGTCTAGAGCGTCTGGTGCGCAGGCGGAGCGCAGGGTCCTCACCCGCGTTTTGGGAGCAGGCTTGCATTTTAAAAAGAGATTGGGAGCCATCTTCCACTCGTGATTACATACAAATAATTAAAGGGAAGATTGAAAAGGGCATTACTGTCACATCTTTTGAACAATTACGTTTGGAAGTCTTGAAACTGTCTTGTCTGACGGGAAATGGGAGACTATCTGGTTCTTCCTTTAAAAAAAAAATGAGTTGGAATGGCAGCCAAAAATAACCAAAAGAGTTAAAAATACTTCAGTCTCGTATGTGAAACATGTAAACACATATATTTACATTTTAATGATAATACCACATACAAAGTTTAAAAAGCACAAAAGATCAGCATTTCAGGGGAAAGGCTGCGGAGTCAGACGCAGTAAGCATGGAGCCGCGGCAGGCGCGGCCCCGGAGCAGGTCCCGGAGGCGCTGCCGGGCACCCGCCTGCGGCCAGGACTGCCCTGAACACCCCCCCCCCACCGCCCCCCGCCCCCCCCGCAGCACTCCCCGCTCCCGGCCCCAGCGGTCTCCTCTAACGGTGGCAGCCGAGGTAAAGCTCCAACAGACAGACTGCTTCTCCAAGACAGTCCTTTCAGGGGTGAGTGATTCTTAAACTGCTCCTTTCAAAAAGTACTATTCCACCCCCCATAGGTGTCCGTTAAGTATGTGATCATTTTAACTGAATATTTAAAACATGTATCCCTTTCTAGGATACTTGTGGAAAGCTGAATCATTTGTTTTAAAAGTTGATATAGAATAACCATGCAAAAAATATATATAACAGGTATAATCAACAACTTTAAATATTTTTCATCTGTAGATATAAATATGTTGTAAAAATTACATCTTGTGTTAGATACATTACTTTAAAAAAGACATGGATGCCCTAACTGGCGTAGCTCAGTGGATTGAGCTCGGGCTGCGAACCAAAGTGTCGCAGGTTCGGTTCCCAGTCAGGGCACATGCCTGGGTTGCAGGCCATGGCCCCCAGCAACCGCACATTGATGTTTCTGTCTCTCTCTCTTTCTCCCTCCCTTCCCTCTCTAAAAATAAATAAATAAAATCTTAAAAAAAAGACATGGACACTAATACCAAAATCAAATCTGATCACTTTTGCAAACCATTCCAACCAAGGACCGTTAGGCTGAGCACCAGTCACACCGCTGGTGCATGTGCTGCCGGTCAGGTGTCCCACCATCTAATGACAGATTAATAACTGTGCGCTCCTGCCGCCTTTTATCACTCTGTCCCTTCCCTGCTGGTTAAGGACCAAGGTTTCCAAAAGTAACAAAATACAAAGTGTCCTAATGTTATCCAGCCCGGACTTCAATATGAAAAGCAAATTGAACCTCCAATGGAAGCTCATCCAAATGGATTCTTTACTAGAGGTGAAACAACTCAAAACCGTGGCCCGAGGAACTCCCTGACCGACAGAGCGGCTGTCCTGTATGGCTGACGGTGTGCGGTGACAGCAGCCAACGAGAAGCCGAATCTGACTCACTTAGGTGAGAGCTCGGGTGGAAGTTTGAAATGCACAACCAGCAAAAAAAAAACCCCCAAAATTGAGTGAAACTGAAATCAGCCGGCATCATGCGACCGTGACGATCCACGCCCTGGGTGCACTGCTCCAGATGCTGACCTCGTAAGAAGTCCTCTCTGGCTATTTCACTGATCCCAAGTGCAAAGCGGTTCACTACAGTGATGACTCCAGGGACCACAACCAATGTGGAATGTCGTGATGACAGTGCAGAAAAACCGCCACATTTCTAATCCCCAAGGAGGTGGAAAATTAAAAATAATATAAAGCTATATTCCGATGAAAAACTTCATGATCAGTGCATGCAAACCACCTCTTTAAAAACATACTGATAAAATGAAGTTCGCAGAATAAGCATTCCCTTTACAACTCCCAGTGACACGAGTTCTGACTTTCCTGTGTCTATAAAAATCCCAAGTGCCACGAAGAATGTGGTCCATTCAGAACTTTAGTTTTCAGGATCTAAAACTTACCGTACAATTTCCACCAACCAGAATTTGTCTTCATGGGCTTGATGCCATTGAAGAAGACCATTCAGTATATAAATGATAATCAAATTATTTCAAAGTTACCTTTTTAAAAATGACCATGGAAGTGTAAATTAGTCACTGCTTTGTACCAGATAATTGATAGTCTTTCAAAGTGCAACTGCTTAAACTACCGTTTTGTGAGTGAATTGATCACTATCGAATGCCTGAAAGGTACTCACCTCTATGAGGCTGGAGTGGATTCCGATCAGGTAGGGCATTGGAGCGCTAAATTAAAAAAAAAATACATATATATTCACATAGTTCATGAAAACTGAAACAACGATCCAAACAATTCTGTATGCCTAACAAATTAAATGTATTAAATGCACGGTTCTAACATAGCACATTATAGGTACTTTACGTTATTCTACACATATAATTCGAATCTGATTTTAAAGGCCATTCACAGATTCAAGTTAAAGTCGATTTATATAGCCCTGGCTGGTGTAGCTCAGTGGATTGAGCGCGGGCTGCGAACCAAAGTGTCGCAGGTTCGATTCCCAGTCAGGGCACATGCCTGGGTTGCAGGCCATGACCCCCGGCAACTATACATTGATGTTTCTCTCTCTCTCTTTCTCCCTCCCTTCCCTCTCTAAAAAAATAAATAAATAAAATCTTTTTTTTAAAAAGTCGATTTATATAAAAATCACAAAATCATTTATAATTAACTCAAAATGTAATGCCTTAGAAAACTTTAATGATTAAGAACAGTAGGGTCTAGGCCATAATCAGTGTTGAACCTCTCCCTATACATCACATCAAATACTGAATATTACTTCAAACAGCAGACCATGCATTTAATCATCGGCTGCTAATTAAGGACTTCGTGCAGTGTCTCCTAGCAAGTGATCTGTGAAAATTATTTTCAGAGGAAAAGACTACTGTCAATGAAGTTTAGGAAGTGAGAAATAGGAACTTCCCATCCTTAATAATCATCAAATTAACTCACATTTCTTTTGCACACCTTTTTGTTTATTCAATTTGGTTCTTATTTCTAGGATTTTCCTAATATATCATTATTTCATGCCTACCACCTGACCCAATTTTTGAGTCAGTCAGCACCAAGGACTCATGAGACCTACTATGTGCCGGCACCTACTGCGCCTGGGGAGCTGAGGTGTGCAGCCCCTCCCACACCGTCATCGCGCTGCTTCTGTGCTGTCTGCCCCTGGGCCTTGTCTTTCAATCCACCTTTCGTACATTCACCCTTATCCCACTTCCACTTTTAGTAATAAAAGAATTTTAATAAATTAAAAAATATTCAAACAAGTTTAAGAATAAAATTCACTGAGTCAGCCCCAAATGGCGAGAGCACCCCAGGTGCACGGGCCCGGGGGCCTGGGCCCAATGCAGGCGACGCAGGCGGGCTGCTCCCCTCGTGGGTCTCACGCGCCAGCAGAGAGCACAGTCACTAACTAATCTTTGCGACTCGTCAGATCAGACTTACCAGTAATTTCACAAACATTCCTCGCTACAGGCAGAAGGAAATTATTCAACGTGACATTTCAAGATTAAAATTCTGTCTAACAAGAAACCATGAGAATGGACGAATGTCTACAAAGGCGATAAAAATATGCCACTAAACAGCTATTTCAAAATAAAACATAAGACATTTTTTAAAATGTCTTTGATACACGTTTGGGTGCTACACTGAGGGCCAACCTTCTCTGCTAATGGAAACAGATAAGCTTCTTTCTCTTATCAGGGCCTGCACAGTCTCCCAAACATCACCGTCCTTACCAGGACAGAGCGGTGGCGTCCTGCAAGTCCACCTGACCACTGACACCAGGACCCGATGACACCAGCGGGCACCCCCACAGATGCAGTTTTCAGAGGCACCTCGGCAGTTCCAGGGGTGTGGGAGGCCAGCCGCAACTTCCCCATCCGGAACTCACGAACAGTAAGAACAGCCGAGGTTCTTTCTTACTCACTGGCCTGTCCGTCATGTCTTATGTGCTAGATTCTAAGCCCAGTTGCACTTGTCTTTGATCAAATGGTCCCTTCCTGCTTTGTTGCAACAGATCTGGTATTCTGGACACTTCGCTGGACTGAAAGGGGAGAACTGTGTATAGACAGGCCTGGATACCCTTCAGACCTAAGAGACCTGCTCCCTGCAAAAGGAAGCAGGACAAACGCTGTGGACGCTTCCCCTCTTGCTTAACCAAGGGAAGGCTGGGGAAGCCCCTAGCTCACGTTCTCGTGTCTGGAATCCCTTCTGGGGTTCCGCAGAAGACATGAAATACATGTCACCAATGGTATGTGTCCCACGACCAGGCTCAGCAACTTTCGCAAAGCAGTGTGGGCAACGGCAAGATCTGGCAATGGGCCAGGCCCTTGCCGCACCGAAAGACGGATAAAATCAGTAAAGTCACTGCGCAGCCTTCCTGTCGGCCCAGGGTTAGCTTGTCTTACCCTCTGGGGTCATACAGAGAGCCCGAGGGACCTCAAATTTCCAAGCGTGTTGTAAGAAAAGGAGCGTTAATCAAAATATTGAAGCCTTTTAAAAACAGTTACTATTGCATCCATTTTATAGATGTTGGAGGATGAACAGTGAGTGGAACAGACTTCAGAAGACCAAATCCAAAAATGCTGGAGTCACACGGGCGACACTTCCCAGTTATCGCTTGGAATAGAAACAATAAATTTATAGAAATTGTTCAGCTAGAATAAAAACGCAGTGACGAGTGCCTCCTTGAACCTGACAATAAAGGGACTGGAAAGGTGTTCTACGGGATCAACTGGTGTACCTCGGTGTCCTTATCTCACTGATTTGTAACAAAATCACAGCAGACAGATGTCAGACATGCAAACGTTTTTAACCCAGAGCATCATTTCCTAAAAGAATTATGATGATTGGGAGAGTACAGATGTTGTTGAATAGTGGTTTCCTTCTCATGGAAAGTGAACTGAGTGCACCCTAACACCAAACCAGCCAAATCTCGTGCCAAGGAGTCTTCGCCCCCAGCTGACACCGGCTAAGAGACGAGGACGTTGACGAGTCGGGGAAGGGACCTGGCAAGGCGGCGGTTTCACCATCCGCGTGCAAAACCGTCCTGCGTCTTTCTCTCCGTGACGTTATTTTGCAAAGAGAGGACACAGAAGGCTCTGTGATGACTGCTTCCTCTTTCAGCAATTAATCTCCGTTCAGAAATAATTACTCCATAGCAGCCCCTTTCTCCCTGTTGGGTCTCCTCACAGAGACCAGGCATGCGGCGGACCGCACCGGCGGCCTGAGAACGCGGGGCCGTCAAAACGGCGTAGCTCCCCGTGATGTTTCCAGCGGCTATTCTCTTAGGAGCCAGCGACACCCGCCCCTCTGGCGGAGAGCAGCAGCAGCAGCAGACACACAGACTGACCTCACCGGGAACCAACCCTTCCTGAGCCGGAAGGACGAGTACGACCTTCCCGGGAGTGAAGTCGTGCCACGCCCGGGTGTGGACGGGCTCAGAGCGGGGGGGGGGGGGGGGACTGTCCGCCCACCTCGCAGACCGGCCACGCCCAAGTCCCCTTCACTGTGCTGCTGCAGAACAGCACGAGGTGTGCCCTCTTCACAAACTGAGTGCACCATGCCACATCGCTGCCTGGGGGCTCAGGGTCGCTCAGCCGATCTTGAGAACGTCATCACTTTGTGCAACTGAAGCCCATTAAACGGCAACTCCTCCTTTCCCCTCCTAGCGCTAGATGCTGGGGGAAATGCGGGCCGTGTCCCGTGGGCCCAGTAGCCTCCCCCATCCTGGCAGGCAACGGGGGCCACCTCCTCCTAGGTGTCCCAGCTGCGTTCCCCTTACGCACCTCTGAGACGAACCTGCATGTGTGTGCACATGCTAATGTGTGTGTAAACTCCTTCCCATCTGCGGACCCCACCGGGGCAGAAACCAAGGCTTCTTCGTTACGCTGCCTGCTCACGGCTGGACAGCGGGGGTTCCCCGAATGTCCGACGTGCGAGTGCAGGAGCGAAGGAGTGCAGGAGCCAGCAGGAGGGCAAGCCTGCACCCGAGGACCTGGGCGCGATGCGACACTCACCCAGGGCCACGAGGGGCCTCCTGGCTGTCACCATCTCTGCCGTCAGAGACACCAGGTGCAAACCCCAAAACCCCTCCAGAAGCCGGGCCTAGCTCGGGATCCGGAAGGTGCCAGTCGCCTGGGAGAGTGGGCAGACCCGCATCTACTGCTGTCTGGCCTTCCTGGCTCCATTTCCAAAGTGGAATTGAGAAATGTCTTTACCCCAAACCCACGGAATGGAAGCGACGGCCTCTGACATTCCTCGCCCTTCTGCGTACAGGTCAATGTGACCAGGATCACTTGCAAGGGTGCAAACAAAGAGGAGAAAACCATTTTCCCCAGGGAACAGTTTAGTCCATAGAATTTTCTGATAATGGAAGAGAGCTGGGCCTTAAGCGACTCTTTCTAAATATATATACACACACACACATATATATATACATTCCCCTGCCGACCCTGCTACTGGAGGCTGAGCCCCTCGTGGTGACGGGACAGGAGCTCAGGGGGCAGTGATCTCCACCACCGTGCTCTCCGGGCCGGAGGGCCGGAGGGTGGCTGGCGCGGAGGCTGCTGGCACTTGTCCTGGCACCTACCGCAGAGGCTAGGGACCGGCGAGGAAATGCCCGTGCCTGAACGACAGAACCGGCTTCCTTCCTCACGGTGGAAGCAGCGGGAAGAACACCGCCGGCGGCTCGGGAAGGGGCGGATGGCGCCTCTGGAACGAGGGAGCGTGGAGCAATGCACGGGTGGGGCGATTCCTGCATAACGCTGTGTCAGAAAGCCCCCGTGGAACTCAGAGGGGTGTCACCTCCCGAGAGGTCAAAACATGTCACCGGAAAAATTAAATGGCACCAACACGGCATACGATAAAATATCGTTCTAAACCTCATAATCTGAAGTGTTCGTTCTTGACATGTGTATATTTTTAAGTTACGTATCAATATGTTTTCAAATGCTTTAACAGAAAATTACGTAAAACAAGCGAGCGCTGACTGCTCAGTGAGCAGAGGCCGATTGTATGTGCCGAAGTGAGTGAGGTGAAGTCCCTCTCCAAGGACGCGAGTGCGCCGGATGCGCCGGTCAGAGGAAAAGAACCCTGAAGGGAAAACCAGCAGGACCTGACTACAGACCCGGCTTTACCCTTGGACTTGGGTGTTTCCCAGGTCACAGTCTCACTACACTGTGACCAAACCCTCTCTCCTTCCCAAGACTCGGGGCCGAGTGACGGGGGCGGGCGGTGGGGTCACAGGGAGAAGCTACTTCACCGCGTCCTCCGTGCTAACACGGATGGGACGTTCACCCATGGTCACCCATGGCCGTGTCACCAGGCTGTGCGAACACCCAGTATAGTGAGGTCGTCGATCTGGGGCCAGCTACACATTCTGTCATGACAATCGCTTGTTCCAAAGAGGGCTAGCCATAAAAACTAAACACAAGATACCCCTAGGTGTGAACGTAAGTCTGTTTAATCCTTAAATGCTTTGAGTGGTCTGCTTTTCACGAAATAAAGAAGTTAAATACTTTGCTTCTAAAAGAGTTTTTTTTTTAATATTATGAGTTGTGATATCAAAAAACCCATTATGGTCAACATTACGGCCTTCTGCGTGCGTGTGTCCTGTCCTTTGGTGCGGGGGTTGTGTGTGTGTGTGTGTGTGTGTGTGTGTGCACTTGCACCGTCCAGAGGGAGAACTCATCAGCTTTCTGGGGCTGATGTGAGCTTCCCCACGGAAGCGGACAGCACAGGGTAGGGGACGTCTGGCCCTCAGGCCAGACCAAGGCCAAGGCTGCAGTCTGGGAGCCCAGCCCAGGTCTACGGTCACTCCCAGTCCACAGACTCTTCCAGGGGAGGGACGGGGGGGGCTCCGGGGGTGGAGCTGAATTCAGTTGGGAGCTACATCTATCGCCAGGAAGCTTTCCAGAATTACTCCCGACCCGCCCAACACTGCTCTCAGGGGATCCCTGTACTGGAGGCAGCCCCTTTGCGGTGTTTGGTGCGGGGTGAGCTACTGAGGGAGGGGCGCAGGGGGGCCCGTCTGCCCTCCCGGACTCTGCAGACAGACGCCGACCCCTGGGACCCCGAGTCCCGTAAGTGACACTGTCACTTCCATCCACCTTTCCCAACCACGACTAAGATGGCGCTTGCTTCTGTGCACACGCTCAGTTATCCGAACCCCAACAACTCTGACTGCCACGTAGGAACTGTGGCCGACTCTGGAAAGAACTACTCAGTAAAAGCGCTTTTGGTGTTTGTTCCTGCTCTCCAAGGCAAGTTCCGGCGATTTCGGGCACACGGGGCCCAGCACGCTCACGGAACCTACAGAGGAGCGGCCCGCGCCCCGCGCCGCCCGGCCCCGCGCCCGCCCCGAGGGGAGCTTACCAGCAGTAGTCCAGCAGGTGCGGTGGCAGCACGGGGATGTAGATGTGCTGCCAGAACATGGGGAAGAGCAGGGCGGCCGATCCGTGCAGGCAGGCGGTCAGCTGCAGGTTGGAAGAGGACAACGACAGTCAGTGCCCGCGGACCCTCCCAACGCCGCGGCGGCTCCGAGATGAACGGCAATCCCAGACCACCCATCCGGCGGCCCGCCCCCCACGATCCTTACTAACGCTGCTGCGTGCAACGAGTCTGCAAGCGTTAGGTTTGGGGAGCCCCTCTTAAAACCACGGCATGTAAGCAGCTCGAGCAGTTCCGCGGGCCTCCCGGGTGGAGACACAGTGTTTGGAGTCAAAACTCAGGCCGCAGAGAAAAGTGAAACGGAAACATCAGGCGAGCCTCGTGGCTGACCTGGTGGCACGTCCCCGTTCGCGCAGCCCAGCCCGGCCGCTGCGATGACTGCACGCAATTAGACTCGGGGAAGGGGCAGGCGGGAGCCCCCGAGGGGTATCGTTAGGGCGGACTGCCAGAGGAGGGAACGCGGTCCGACAGCAGGGGCCGCGGGCGGGCGGGCGGGCGGCGGGAGTGCCGGGGGACCGGGGGGACGCTCGGCAGTTGGCTCTGTGGCCGCGTGCGGACTGCGGGCCGCAGAACCAGGGGACTCTGCTCACTGACACGGAGCGTGTCACTGTGGGGACCAGCCGGCCGCCCGAACTTGGCAGCTGCTCCGCGGGAAGCCGGCGACATCCTCATTCCGCAGTCACACTGTTCATTTCGGGGGAGCCCGGTGTCGCCGGGCCTCAGGCCACAGCAGCTGCCGTGGCGGTGCTGCCGTTTTCGAGGTAACTGCCATTTTCATTGTTCCGTGTTTGGCGAGCGGTTAATGAAATGTTTCTAACGCCTCACAAAAATGATGCCATTTTTTTTCCTTCCCTCCTAGTGACCCGCCCCAGAACTCTTTCTGTATGGTTTTCCATACGTTTTAAATTCTATTTCTCTGTGTGTAAAATCATTTTTTAGCGTTGAATGCAACAATTAAATCAGTATTCATCATCATTTTAAAGTTCTGCCATAGTCTGCATTTCAAGGTAACTAACTAAATCATTTTATTCAACTAGAAAATCAGAATTCAAAAATAAAACCACCTGAAAATGAGCCACACACTTTCTATAAAACCATTATTTCTATTTTATTATATGAGAAATTAAAATTTACACGTAGTAATCCAAACAATATAAAATAAATGTATACAAAGTAATTTAATCTTTTCTATTATTGAATTGATTTGGGCGGCATTGGTTAATGAAACCACGGAGGTTTCTGGGTACAGTTCTATATATATAACACGTCGCCTGTACACTGTACTGTGTGTCCGTCACCCTGAGTCCAGCCTCCTTCCGTCACCATCTGTCCCCGTTTGCCCCCCCTCCCCCTCCCCTTTTCCCTCTCAACTCAATCTTAATAGCAACATTATCTACGTTAAAGAGGTGTACTGATGTACACCTCTTTTAATGTACTGATGTACAGCTCTTTTGCTCTTTTAATTAATTTTAAGAAATCAATTAAAATAATCTAATTAATTTTTAAAAATCAATTAAAATAATCTACTTTGAACCAAAAACATAAAAAATTTTGATTCCAATTATATTCATCTTTGTCTATTATATATTTATTTTCCAGTTACATTTTTAATGAATCATATGTGTAAAATAATATATTTTTATTCTATTCAGAATGCTGTCATTAAAGCGTTTTAGTACTTCACACACATACACGCTTTAATAGTTTATCTACAGTGTCCTCTCGGTGAATATTGGTTTTAAAATCCCTTAATTAGGACACACGATATACCACTAGGAGGCATTCCAATACTTCTGTTTAACAACCACGGACCCGGGACCTGTTTATCTCACGTATCTGAGCTAGAGGGTCGTCCAGCCCGAGTCACACCCCCCGAGGACCGGGGGGCGGTCCGGGGTATAAACGGGGCGTCATCCAACATGCAGGAGCTCTGTCCCCACTGCGGGGCGACCAGGCGGGCTGAGGGCCCTCGGGCGGCTTTGGAAGGCGGCTCATTTGCTCAGTTTCTCCATCGCTACCCTGGTGACTATTAAAACGACTCCTTTTAACCCTTAAAGAAAATGGAAAGTGTTCCCTTTTTATTGCTGAGAAAAATAATTAACAGTGTAAGAGAGGAAAGCACATTCTCAAGACGAAGAGTTGTAACGAGAGCAAGTCGTTTTTCGGGCGCACCTAGAGCCCAAAGCACTCTGTCCGCTGCTGGACGGACACTTTCCCCCGCCCCAGGGGTCAAGCTGCACGGAGCGCGCGCATGACTCCCTGCCAAGGCACAATGTGAGTTCGTGAACCTGACGGTTCGCAGAGGGCGGCCCCATGATGGCACTGCAGCGGTCAGCGCACGCCGAGGGCTGCCTCCGCTCATCCCAGTCTACCAGGAAAGAAGGAAGTCCTTCACCATTTGGCAAACTTTTGGATCTAAGGGTGAGTGACAGGGACAGGTAAAAAGACCACCTCTACCCATCCAGTTTCAGCCTTAGCAGCTAGAATGAATAATTAAAAGTAACACAGCGGAAATGTCCATTTCCGGCGGAACTACAAGGAATTCGCTTTTGCGAACATTCAGTCTGTTGACTGTGAGGCTCCCACGCGGAGACTTCCAAAGGAGGAACAAGGGCCCCAAAGAAGACGCCCCGTCCCCACCGAGCGGCACGGAGCCACCGTGTGATTAGGACAGAGGAGATGCAACTACAGCAAATATGTGACAGCAGAAAGAGTCCAGCTAGAGGTAAAGGGTTACCATGAAGAAAAAATAAACTTGCCAGGAAACCAAACACAGTTATCCACAAGCTGTGTGACACAAGAACAACGAAGTGGGTCACAGACAGGGGGGCTGTGCCACCAGGACACTGCGAGACGTGGGCCCGCCGCCGAAGACACCGGGAGTCCGTTTCCTGGTGTTCGCCCCGAAAGGGCCGCATCTGAGTGATCCACCCTCTTTACCCTCCGATCAGATCAGTCCTAGCGTTTTATGTTCTCCACGAGACGAGGGGTCGTTAACAGAACACGTTAACTTGACTATAATTCAGACCCACCTTCGAAACAGGCCTCGAGATCCGCTCTAAAGGCTTTGAAGCACATTAGCTAACCGTGCAACTGGAAAAAGAACAGTTTACTTGCCTAACCCAGCCGAAGTTTTGAGTGCCCACTGCTGGATGCCGTCACCAGTGTCCGCCAGGCTGCGTGACGTGTGCTGAACAGAACGATGCCCTGTGTTCGCGGAGCTTTGGTATTAGTGGGCAGAGCAAACGGCAAGCAGGTAAACTATGTATTCCGTCAGTTGGAGGTAAGCTCTAGGAAGAATCCTCAGGCAGCGGAAGAGAATCAGGGGTGAGAGGGGCTGGATCAGGGACCAGGTCTGATGCAGTGACATCTGAACTGACAGCCGACTGAGACGGGGCAGCCCACGGCTGTGGTCTTGGGGAGAAGAGTATCCCACTGATGAGGACGCGTTCCAAGGTCCCGAGGTGGGAACACCGTCCCGGAGCCACAGGGGGCGGCGTGACTAGCCCGGAGCGGGTGCGGGAGCGCCGGAGTGAGGAGGGTTTAAGGAAAAACAGAGTCCTTACCATTCACGGGTTCAACGACACGTGAAAACCTAACCGCACCTATAGCTCCACAGAGCACACTCAATGTGTCGAACCGATACAGTGCCGAAGCGCCCGCCAGTGTGAGATAAAGGTACCGGGAACGTCGATCTCCCATCCCTCACACGGCAATTACGGAGTCGGTGTGCAAGGGAGCCATGTGAAGAGACAGGGCTGGGGCCCGTGCAGTGAGCAGATGCACCTGCTAATAAAGGCTGGCCATGGGGATGCAGCCTCGGAATAAAGGCACCTGGAACTTCCCGTCCCAGGCCGCCGGGTCTGAGGCCACTGAGGATGACAACAGCGAACATTCACAGAATGCCCACGACATGCCAGGCACTGTTCTGAGGACCTGATGCACTCAATCTATTACCATTGTTCCCACAGACGGATCGGGACACGGAGGCAAAGGTAGACCAGTTGCCCACGACCATACAACTAGGAAGTGGCAAGGCCGAGACACCAACCCAGGCAGGCAGGTTAAGAACCTTTCCTTTCAGCCGCCTTACTGTATACAAAGATTTGAAATTCCTATGCTTAGGAGACTGTGAATAATATCCTAATAAAGTATTTTCTCCTGCGTCTCTTCTCTCTGCTGACGGGACCCAGGCTGACACAGAGGCTGTGAGCTCGGTATGTTGCCTGGAGAACACTGTCTGGGGTGAGCCGGGCGCTCCACCACCGAGGGGTGACTCAGTGGGCGAGCAACTGGATGCCCTTCTGGGGGAGAAAGCAGGGTTTCTACGGGACTGTAGGAAAGCCCGAGCTCCCGGGGAGCCTGAGCGAGAGCCCACGGCAACGGACACTCATGGGTCTGAGAAGAGTCAGTTCATGGTTACCGACCGCTTTCCCCCAAGGGATGACCATTGTGTCGTGGACTTTTTTAAAAACTTGAAATTCTTTAGCAGAAAATGGCTAGACATAAATCTTTCTTTAAAGACAAAGTCTACATGGAAATGAGCCTCTAACTTATAAACAGAATTTTTTAAGAAACCTTGGTTCTTTAAAAAGATGACTGGCAAAGAGATACATTGTTACTCGTCAAAGAGACAGAAGTCCACTCTGGCATTTCTCTGTATCCAATGAACACTTCCTATTTCATACCATAACTAATAAAACTTCTTTTAAAAACTTTTGTTATCCACAATTTAAAAGACAAATTTATTCTTACACACACACACACATACACACACACAAACACACCATAGCTCTAAACCGCAGTTTCAGAGAGAAAAGACAGAATTGGAATTACTAAAAGAAACTAGGCATCTGTAAGGCAAGCCAGACTTTGGAAAGAAAACATTGCTAAAAACCTCTGGATCAGCAGCGCCCTGAGGGCTGGGTTTTCTGTCCCGACTGAACCAGAGGCGACCCTGACCCTGAGGAGTTCACTGGCTAGAAACCTGAGTGGACAGGGGAGCGGTGGGAAAACTCAGGAAGGG